ATCAACAATCTTCAGGTCACTCATCGAACGCTTAACTATTAAAACTACTAATAGAAATTTCAACGTCAACCTATTTTTGATATAAGTCAACGATTATCTAATGGCATATGGCGTATATTTTTTTCCTCTTGACATATTTGAAACCCCTCAGTCACAATTTAACACTGGAATTTCAGAAACATGTTAAGTTACTAGTGGGCTGATTAATATAGTTGAGGGGGATTGATTGTCTGGAGACTGATTTGATTTAAAGGCTCTTCCAATTAAACAGTCATATAATTTCAAGTTTTATCAAGTATATTCTTATCACCCTCAGGATCAATGCAAGTTCATACTTCATTTAAAAAATCACAATTGGATCTTAAACATTTTATTTTCATTCAAATATTTCAATATTGTCTACTCTACAGTCCATAATAAGATGGAATTCACAGGTCACCTTACTAATAGAATTTAACTATTATTCAAATTTTTTCTACTTAGTTTGTAACTCATAGTTTATAGTAAATATTATTAAAAATATTTCACTGAATAGTTTTGTTTAGTTATTATAAATTCTGCTTTCATAAACTTTGAATGTGTTATATGTCTGGTCGATTAAACGCTACTTGCTATATCTAGCCGTCACTGATTGTTATGTCGGAAACGTTTATCACTCATACTCGAAACGAGGGACCTCCACAATTCTCACGATGCGAAAGTAAGAACACGAAGACTGGTATGAGTGAAGATTTATTAATCTTCAAAACATGACGACAACCCTAGCGGGAGATACACTCGTTTATACATTGATTGTACACCCAATTGATTAAGTAGGATGAAATTACATACATGAAAAATACTTAGGGTTATAACAAATCATATGCTGAGTATAGTTCATGTTAACTTCATACAATTTTATGTCATTACTACATGTGATAAAATATAGAATACACTATTTTAGTAAAAAAAAGAACCCGTCATGACTTTTATATGAAAGAAGTTTGGAGAATTCGGGGTTACAGATAAAATTCTGAACAATAACTAACAAAATCTCAATGTGAAATGTAGGTGAAAAAATGGTCGACGGTCGCGCAATATTGTGGATTAGTTGAAGTTGCACATTCACAGCACTGAATACCGGCTCAATGGTCTAGAGATCGAAGGTCCTGGGCCTGAGTCCCGCGTGTGGAATCGCGAATGCGCACTGTCGATTATTCCCATACAATAACGAAAAGACCATCCAGTGCTCCCAAGTTTCCAATGGTAGTCTAACATTGATCCATTCATTATATCAATCTAAACTCAACAATCTCCATAACCCTATATTGAAAAAATAAACAATGACCTATTGAGTAAACAACAACGATATGTTTTTGAGTGTTGGTTCCTTTGAAAAAAAACACATACCTTTTCAATGTGTAATTGGCGACATAAGAAATAAGATATGCCCAGAAAGATAAATTTGAAAATTTGCGTAAACACTATTGTTTACAACTATATTGGACTAAATTAGTTGATGATAAATAATCATATGATTGGATTCAATTCATCACGTCATCATATCATGATTTAGAATAGATGTTTACGAGTGTTATTACCAATATTAATAACAACACAAATTCAAAAGTTTATTGTCTTTTGATTATGATAAGTTATGACTTAGTGATTGATTTTCACAGATTGGAAGATATCATCATTGAGGAAAGATTCGTAAAGGATTTGAAGCTGAAAAGTATCTTGATATATATTCTATCTCCGTATTTACATAGTCTGTATAAAATCAAACAGACTAATTTACACATAAACCAATGTTGTCCAAGCTTCATAAGTCCAAATCTTAATAGTTTCCTATTTATTTACATTACAAACTATGAAGTATTCCTTTTCTTATGTGTATGTACTTCATTTTGACGTTGCAGTGATTTACGCAATAGTCTTTATCAACCTTACCCAATCATATGTATCCGAGGTTCAGTAAAATTAAAAGAATGCTCAGAATTCTCGTTCTTTACAAATGTGAACATTTACAAAGTCTGTCATAAATAAGGCTGAACAAATATGAACCATATCAGTCGAAAAAAGGAAATAACACATGCGTTGAGAAAATGTGCAATAAAATATTGACTACTCATAAGTAGTTTGTTTTTATTCTGGTTAGCATTTTTTTAATCAAAGAAATAACTTGGAATCCTGAAGGCAAACGAAAAAGAGAAAGGCCATAGAACACATTGTGTCGAGAATTGCAAGAAAGCATCAAAAGGATGGGTAGAAACTGGAAACTAGCGGAAAGGATTTCTCAGTACAGAGTTGAATGGAGAATGCTGGTGGATGGCCTATGTCCCTCCACAAGGGGTAACAAGCATGAGTAACTCATAAGTAACCCAGTTAGATAGAATTTCAGAAATGTTATGATAAATTCTTATAACAACTTAATATAACCTCCTCCTCTCACCCCCCCCCACACCCATGTGTCAAACAGAAATGAAAACAGTGTACAAAATATAAAATATAAATCAAACCAATCTTCAAACTGAAACTTACTGAGAATGGTCAAAATATCTTATTTCTCATTACATTTCTTCATATTCACTTGACAGTATATACCATAAAATGTTGTTTAGCATTGTTCCGTGACCTGATACCGTAGAGGTGTCAATCTTTAGAATAATTGAAAAATACTTCCAAACAGGACAACTCTAAGGTCTCAGGGATACGGAATCTAATGCAAGTTGAATTTCATAAAGTTACATTTAATTGATAGTAACAAAGGACGTCTGTACATCATCATCATCAACTTCCATATGATCTATAATTTTCAGTTCAAGAAAATAGTGTCAATATTAGTTACCAAAAAAGTATTCATGTTAGAAAAAAATGTGAAATTATGAAACTTAATGTAGACATCATCAGTATATAAAGAAATTTTAAGTAGTGAGAACACCACATGATCCTGCTTAAATAACAACAAATACAGTCATTTTCATGACAAATTAACAAGAATTAAATTTAGTTAACTAAAAGAGTTGGAGATATAATCATCAACTGATGAGTCCCCAGATAGGACGGTTCTTCGTTGTTGTTAATCATTACTCCATATATAGCTTGTAGCTCTCTACAGGGAATTAATTTAGGTATCTGATCAAAAGAAATTGTATACCAACACAACAGCTGATCAAATCAAGTTTTTAGTATCACTAATGAGAAGACACAGAACAAATAACTCTCTTGCAATAAATAATTTAAAAAAACCCAACTAAATGAATGTATATAACAAATGGCTTCAAATGATCTCGTCATTCTTGAGATGCCCTCTCCCCCCCCTATACAATGATACAATTGTAGATATCACTGAATTACCATGAAACACTACTGATTTTTGATGCGAAAATCACCTTACCAATACGTAGTTATTTGAAGAAAACAAACAATGAATTATTCCTTCTGAATTGCGGAAATCATTCTGAAGTAAATAAGTCACTAAATTATATTGATTGAAATTGAACGAAATTCCTGATCAACTCGTGAAAAAGAAAATTATTAAAAAAACATACAACACGTGGTACGTATGTTTACAACGATCGGAATTTAAAGTGTTAAAAAACATGATCGTTTAATTTGTCAATAATTATGAATCTTTTCATCATAATAATGATGACATTTTTACTTATTTTCATCTTGAGTGTAATGGAAAAATTAGGTAAATACTACTGACAAAGTGTATGTCACGTAGTTACTAAGTACAAGTTTGTGTACCCAGCTTTGAGAAATAGTTCTGTTGTGTGAAAATTTGTAGTAAGATTTATTATATTCAATAGTTCTAATAAAAATAAATGGAATAAGGTTTATTCAAATCTGTTACTTGATGGACAAAGATAGATGGTGGCCAGAAGTGGAATTCAGGACGCGAGTTCCGTCCTATTTGAGAATTATCAGATGGATGTACCTGAAATCTGCATAGGATGTACACATATGCCAAGAAGAGACTGATCAATTGCAGTCTTAAACATCAATGGGAAGATTCGAACAAACAATATAAAATATTACTTGATGGTTTGAATTTTTCTATGCTCTACCCATTGAACTGAAGAGGTGTATCTCTTTATGGAAAAGTTGTTCAACTAAATTGCAGTAAGTTTTTAATGAAAGATCTGTAGATGATCCTACTCACGAAATGCATTGACTAATCCATTGTATACCGTTACGAAAGGTTAGATATAGTAAAACTTGAAAATGTCTGTGATTTTTGTTACCGTCACTCAATTTATTCAACATAAATAATCAATTTTTCCATTGGATTCATCATGATGAAATCCTAATCGAATGAATTTTTGAAACACTAAAACCATATTCAAACACCTTTTTACTTCTATTTACTATAAAATATTTTTTTATCAGATTTAAATGGGATAATCAACTTTTGTTTACATTTACACTTTTTATGATAAATTCACCTGATAGTAGTAACTGAATATGTTAGAAGATCCTTGTTGAGTTCATTAAAACTTGCCAAGATATGAACATATTCATCAATTCACAAATTAAAAACTGAATAAAACTTGTATCCCATGTATTAATATTAACTAGCATATTAATCAGTTATTATTATCGACATTAGTTCATTAAAAAGACGTTCGTTTTCAAATCAAGTGAGTAAAAAATCATGACAAGTTAGAGATCATGATAATTTTCCTTATACAAAACACCAACTATGAAACATTGGATCTCATTCTGAATAATTAGTCATTAATGTCAGTATTTTTTTGATTGGGATCATGAACCGATTGATGTTAGAACACCATTGGAAACCTGGACGGCCATTTCGTCCTATTGTGGGACTCCTCAGCAGTGCGCATCCACGATCCCGCACCACGCGGGATTCGAACCCAGTACCTACTGGCTTCGTGGTCTAATGGTTAAGTACTCAGGCACGAAGCCAGTAGGTCCTGGGCTCGAATCCCGCGTGGTGCGGAATCGTGGATGCGCACTGCTGAGGGTCCCATACTAGGACGAAACGGCCGTCCAGTGCTTCCAGGTTTCCAAAGGTGGTCTAACATCAATTGATTCATGATCTCAACCAAAAACTTAACAATCTCCACAACCCCCATACTGATAATCTCCACAACCCCTAAACTGATTGTTACCATGTGCTCACTAGTGACTAGCTTCGTGAGAAAATTCTCAGAGTTCTGGTGAGAAGCCGTAACCAGTGGAGCTAATCCGTGTCGGGTAGAAACAGGTATTTACCTCAGTACAATGGAAGATGGTCGCGCAATTTCGTGGATTGGTTGATGTTAGACACTAACACCATTAGATACCGGCTCAGTGGTTCAGTAGGTTAAGCGTTCGCACGTGAGACCGAAGGCTCTTGGTTCGAATCCCGCGAGCGGGATCGTGGGTGCGCACTGTTGATGAGTCTCGCAATAGGACGAAATAGCCGTCCAGTGCTTCCAGACTTTCAATGGTGGTCTAACATCAATCTGTGCATGATCTCAATCAAAAACTTAACAATCTACTCAACCCATAAACTGATAATTAATGTTAATAGTTAAAGTCAAGGTCATTTTCACTATTCCCCCCCTACATACACATAAGAGTATTATTTGAAATAACATGATAAACAAAATTCACAGATTATGTATTATAGCCAATTAAATTAAGCGTAAAATACAATGAATTCATCACATATGTTCATTTGTTTATCCCCATTTACTATCACTTCATGTTAATCAACCCCATTGTATGATCACTATTTTATACATTTTTGGCCTAGATACTAATAATCACAATAATTCAAGTGAATTTCATATTTAACCAGTAATTTATTTTCATTAATGAATTAGTCAAATGATGTCTTACTTATGGGTTATTAACAATTCTGTTTCTTTATTTTCCTACTTCTTTATTTTTCATTTTAAGTAAAATGAGTGATTCAACTGACAGAATGCACATGTATATACATATGTACATACACGAAGAAGCAAATTATACTACTACCAATACTACTACTACTACTACTACTACTAATAATAATAATAATAATAATAATAATAATAATAATAATAATACAGAAAATATTCAGAAAAAATCAACAATTTACACATCAAATAGAAAGAGATTATCCGAAAATGTATAAGCAATGTTCCATTATGACTCAAGCGATTATGAAATGATCATGACTAATTGAATTGTGACAGTATATACATATATACATGTTACGAAGAGTTTATTTTCTATTTCACAAGTATATCTAAGATACTATCGGCGGTGAATACTTATTTACTATTTATTATATAAAATAAATCATGTGATGAAGTAAAGTAAACAATTTTCTATAGTTGTTGTTTTTCTTCTAAAATGAACAGAGGATGGATGGATTGAGAGATGATGATTATTGTAGAATAAATAATAATCATAATACACAATTTCATCATTTCAATAATAAAAAACAATTTAAAGGTGATGTTCAGTAAATTAGTCAATAATATCATCAGTTGATTAGAATATATTAAACAATGAAACAATGATAAGGTATTTATTTATTGAATAATAAAATGATAGATAATAAGTAAAGAATATAATTGATGTGATCATTATGATATCATAATTGTGTATCATAATGAAATTTATCATG